TATTACAGTTGTCCCATTCTCCTCCTTCATTCCCCTCCACTCTGCAAACCCCCTCCCACCCACATTCCTCCCCTCTTAGTTCATGTCCATGTGTCATAAGTTCTTTGGTTTCTACATTTCCCATACTATTCTTGCCTTTCCCCCTGTCTATTTTTTACCTACCATCTATGCTACTTATTCTCTGTACCTTTTCCCCTTCTCTCCTCTTCCCACTCCCCTGTTGCTAAGCCTCCCTGTGACCTCCATTTTTGTGGTTCTGTTCCTGTTCTAGTTGTTTGCTTAGTTTGTTTGTTTGTTTGTTTTTTGCTTAGCTTGTTTTTGTTTTAGGTGTGGTTGTTAATAATTGTGAGTTTGCTGTTATTTTACTATACATGTCTTTTCTTTTCTTAAGTAAGTCCCTTTAACAATTTATATAATAAGAGTTTGGTGATGATGAACTCCTTTAACTTGACCTTATCTGAGAAGCACTTTATTTGCCCTTCCACTCTAAATGAAAGCTTTGTTGAACAGAGCAATCTTGGATGTAGGTCCTTGCCTTTCCTGACTTGGAATACTTCTTTCCATCCACTTCTTGCCTGTAAGGTCTCTTTTGAGAAATCAGCTGACAGTCTGATAAGAATTTCTTTGTAGGTGACTGTCCCCTTATCTCTTGCTGCTTCTAGGATTCTCTCCTTCATTTTAATCTTGGCTAATGTAATTATGATGTGCCTTGGTGTGTTCCTCCTTGGGTCCATCTTCTTTGGAACTCTCTAAGCTTTCTGGATTTCCTGGAAGTCTATTTTCTTTGCCAGATTGGGGAAGTTCTCCTTCATTATTTGTTCAAATAAGTGTTCCACTTGTTGCTCTTCCTCTTCCCCTTCTGGTACCCCTACAATTCAGATGTTGGAACATTTAAAGATGTCCTGGAGGTTCCTAAGTCTCTCCTCATTTTTTTTTGAATTCTTGTTTCTTCATCCTTTTCTGTTTGGCTGCTTCTTCCTTCTGGTCCACTCCATTGATTTAAGTCCCAGCTTTCTTTCCATCACTATTGGTTCCCTGTGCATTTCCTTCATTTCACTTAGCTTAGCCTTCATTTTTTCATCTAATTTGTGATCAAATTCAACCAATTCTGTGAGCATCTTGATCACTAGTGCTTTGAAGTATGCATTTGATAGGTCGGCTATCTCTTGGTCACTTAGTTGTATTTGCTCTGAAGCTTTGATCTGTTCTTCCATTTGGGACATTTTTTTGTCTTGTTGCACCTGTTTCATATGAGGTGCAGAGCCTTAGGTGTTCACCAGGGTGGAGCAACCCAGTTGCTGGGTTGTGATGCTGTATATGGGGGTGGGGTTTGAGAGGGAACAATGGCTCTTGCTCCACTCTTTGTTGAATTTCAGTCACTTCCCCCACTTTCCTCAAGTAAATTGGGCCCTTCTGGTGCTGATTCCCTTGTGGGTGGGCTTGTGTATGTTCTAGGACTCTGTGGGTCTCTCCAATGAACTCTCCTGTGAGGCTAGGAGTTTCTCTTAGCACCTCAAACCCCACAGGTGTTTTCAATTTGTGTTTTGAAGCTTTATTTCCTGGCACTGGGACCCTGGGTTGTGCAGTATGTCTTGCTCCCTAGTGTTGCCTGGCTTATCTGTGTGTGAATGTGGGACCACCCAGTACATGAGCCACCTTGTGTGCCGTGCCCTGCTTTACAATTGCCACCTTTCTTGGTCTGCCCGTTGCTACTCCATGCCTAGGTTCCGCCAGCCGCTGCCTGTGGGCCCAGAGTCCCCCTGCTGCTGACTTGCATGCCCGGGGTTTGTCAGCTGTTGCCTTGAGTGCCTGGTGCAACTGCTTTTTTTGTCGGGACCCCTTTCTGTCTGGCTGCCTGACTCTGCCTTGCTACTGGTCTGGATGAATGTGTCTACTTTAACACCTTGGTTTTTGGACTTCCATGCAGTTCAATTTTGTTTCAGTTCTGGTTGTTATTTTGTTTCTAAATTGTTGGTTGTCCTTATTTTGGTTGTGCGAAAAGGCACAGTGTGCCTACCTACACATCCATCTTGGCCAGAAGTCTTCCTTAACAAAATATTCTTAAGATCTAAACTTGTTGTAGTAAAAGGCAGTATTTCATCCTTTGCTGAGGATGGCTGAGTAGTATTCTATTGTGTATATTACCACATCTTCTTTATTCTGTCCCCTGTTGAAGGACATTTTGGCTGTCTGCATGTTGTGGCCACTGATGACTTGTATTGATGCTGTTTATTTTCTCAGCTTAAACAAAGTTAAGTTCATGGGGCCCTTCAAAATAGGAGGAAATGGATCCACACATGAAAATAACTGTGTTTATTTGCTAACTAGCTGATTCACTAGTTTAATGACATTGGCCAGTTTGTAATGTATGACCCAGCAAATTGACCAATAAAAGGATTGCTGTGGTGATTAAAAGATAACATAGGTATAACTTCAAGTGCTTCTATAAATTAATCAGATTACCATGCATATGCATATGTGTATTATCAGGCATAAAGGAACTTGGTTTAAGCTAGGGGATATTTAGACAATGATATAAATCATCCATGACTAGCCACACTGGCATTATACTTCTTTTGCATATTCATGCTTACAGCCATCACATGTTTTATTGTTATAACACAGGCAGGTATACGAAGGACTACGGAATAGTTTGTTGACTGGTAAAAATGCCTGTGGTCATGTTGCTGTTTTACTAGTTATGCAATGTAACATATCTGCTGTGGGTTTCAAGGCCACAAATATGTTCCTTCTGACTCTGCTTTCACATTGCACAGAAGTGCACTGAAAAGACAGACTGTGTTGATCTCAGACACAAAATGAGGGATAAATCTTTGAATACATTTTCCTCATAAAATAGTATAGAGCAAAAGGATTGTAGAATAAAACTTATGATTTCACAAAAAACAGCAACATAGAAAATAAATATTTGAAAGACAAACTTTTTTCTAAGAGCTTTTTTTCCCATAGAGATTAATTAATTTAAAAATGGTTGACTTTGTTTTTGTAGCCTACAATTCTAATAATAATAATCAAAGGGAAGCCTAAGTACATAAAATGCTGAGTACATAAAATCTAAGTACATTTGATGGATAATTTAGACTCTAAAGTTTCATTCCTCCGTCTTTCCCTGTCATTCGCAAAGTATCTACTAAAGTATAAACAATAACATGAACTTCAATGACACACACTGTTTATGTCCTCTAAGCAGCCTGAAGGAAGGACACGAATGTAGGAAGAATGTTCTTATGATAATCTTTTGATACTTTAGGCTGATATCCAGTCAGCTTCTATTTACATAGCCTTATCTCTGGTTTTCTAGTTTTCTATAAATCTAGCTTATATTCATTGGGTTTTAAAAAATTTATCTTTGGGTGCACATAATCTTAAGTATACAGGATCATAGGACCATATACAAGAATTTGAGTTTGAAACCTGGATTCGGGTTAAAAAAAAGGTTGTGTGATGCTGTTAAAATGAGTCTGACAAATCTTTGCCCAAAGTTGCACTGAGAATCAGTTTTTCTCTGAAGACAAGAGTATTATCAACATTTTCATAAAATATGAGCATAAAGTAGAATACAGTATTATTAAATCAGTATTAACACCTCCTTAGTGAGAATTTCAACTTTTAAAGGCAGTATAAGAACAAATTAATCTCATAGAATGGAAGTTTTTACTTCATTATTGTCACCTTTTTATTTTTGGTTAATTGTTCTTTTCAATGAGTATACAGAAAACTAATACTATATATTAAACAACTTCAAGTAAATATAATGTCATTCTGCTGAATTAAGTGATTTATTGTCTAGAAATACAGGGTAGACACAATGCTCTCTCTAGTCCTGAGTACAGTGTGCCTCAACATAGAGGTTTTTCTGGGTTATTGCTAAAGAGTGATTCAATTTTTGGCAGCTTAAGCCCATACTTCACTGTGGATCCCAATGTCTATATCTGTTCAGATGAGCCATTGGCTAAATGGATGTGTGGTAAACATTAAACAGTATCTATTCGCATTTTTAATGGTGGTTTTTAGAACTGGTCACACATACTCATTAACACTTTCCTTCCTTTCCTCCCTCCCATCCAGATGTATTTTCAAGAGCCATATGTGTTAAGAATACAGTTATTGTTTTTTAAGAATTCACAGTCCAGTGGAGTTGAGATATAAGTAAACAAAAAATTGTAGTATAATATGGTGAGTGTTATGATACCACAAGATCATAAAGGAGAAACACGTAATCTAGTTTCTTAGGATTATGAAAGTCAATTTAAAGATTATACATAACACAAATACAGAGTTTTGCATATAAATGTGTGAACATATTTTTATAATACATAATTTATTTTTCAGAAATAGGACAGTAGTGATTCAGTGTTGGCTGATATGCCGGTCTCTGGCATAATGAGAGAGATATACCATCTCAATTGGGAGTTAATATTTGTAAACAACTTGACTTTTATAGAAAAACAATGTTACATAATTTTACAATATCCATGCTTTTCTAATTTCTACTATATTTTTAATTGCTGATTATAGTTAATACCAAAGGAAAACTTTAATCATATGCATGGTAGAGTGGAAGGCATGTCAGATTAGTTTAAAAAAATGAGCGTCTGTATTGGTTTAGTGGTTCATAAATTATGTGATTTTGACCAAGTCATTCAATTCAGTTAAACCTCAGTTTCTTCACTGGAAACATGAAGAGGCTGAGCAAGAAGATTTTACAGTTTCTTTCTAAATTTAAACATATGACTTTTATAAATATTCTGGTCTATGTTAATACTTTTAAGTTAGAGTCTTAAGAAAATGTTTTTAAGTTTCCACTCCTAGAAAGTACTTATAAACTATGTACTTTAGCTCCCTATAAAATTTGACTTTGTCTCACAAGTTACACAAACAGTTTTCATCACACTAGCCAAGACCCGTCAGACTGGTTCTGTTTAGATCATCAGTGACTTTTTTCTTCACCTCATCCAGCCCAGGAAGTTGCGGCTAGAGCCTGGATGCACACAGTTGGTTCCAGACCGAGGTCTCCACAGGACTCTTCCTTGCTGGTCAGCAATGCATTCGTGAGTTGCCCCTCTCCTTTTCTTCATCTTAAATTAACTTGTAGTTTAAAATGACATAAACTACACCAACAGATGTGTAGATATGATTTATTTTTTGTTTAGTGTAGAAAAATACTTTTGATATTTAACAGAAAGTTACATTAAGAAATAGATTTCTATTCTATTTTAGTGTTTTCTCTTCTCTTATGTCCCCCCAATTTTTAGTATACTTTCAGAAGAGTTCAAAAAAATATACAGGTACATAACGTTTGACAGCTCTCTTTAGTTTATTTCAAGGAGAATAGAACAGGTTTTTTGCTTGGGCTTTATCTTATTGAGAGAATATTCTTCTTTTCAAAGGCACACATGATTAAAGAATCTGATATCATGCGAGATCCAAAGTACATTTATTTATGTAAGTAATTTACATTTAAAAAATTGTAGATATTTTGAAAGAGTGAAAAATAATTTTAAAAGAAAATATGACTCAACTGTTATAGCTAGATTCAAAAATAAATCTAATGCGGTACCACCGTCAACTTCTGTAATAGGTGTGTCATAACTATTTTGAGGTTGTTTTCTTTCAAAGTTAGAAACTAAACAGAATCCAGTTTTTAGTGTACAAGTTTGTGCTTAGAAAATAATTTTATCTTCAGATGAATATTTTGTTTTCTCTGTTTGATGTATTGGCACGTCTTTTATTGAAATTAATTTCTACTTTCAGAAGAAAACAGTTTGAAAAATGTAAAACTTGCAATGGAATCTTAATAGAGAACAACATGCAGGTGCTGTCATAGAAAGTTCTACATATTTGTTATGAGAATTTAATACTTGTCTGTATATGTAAATGAAGAAACTAAGAGCTACAAGCATTACAGATTTAGTCAGATTTTTCAAGACTCTCTGCCTTTGCAAGTACTTCTCTATAATCTATGATGGTTTGTATTCTACCCTTTTTGCCTGCAGTATTTTTAAGAATACTACCCTAGGAAAGAGTATCTTCATTTAAACTTATAATTTCTATAAAACTCAAGATATTAAATAGATTTCAGGGTTTATTTTCTATGCAAGATCTGACTGAGTCTGGGATTTGCATAGAGGAGCTGTAAGGTGGGGGTATTGGCGTGAACTTTTCTACCTATAGATTCTAATTTGAAACAAAAGATTTACCTATTTTTGGTCCTCCTTTGAAGCAGATGGAAGGTACATCTCAAGGAAAAAATAAAAACAAACAAAAATGCCTTTCTGACCTAAAAATCATATAACAAGTGGAGTGTATCATGTTTGAATTGACCTTTGGAAATGCTAAAACAATGGACTTCAGGAAAAGGGAATAAATGTAGTACACACAATTGCTGGAATAAGTGTAACAATAGCAATGCTCTGGGGAAAAAGATATGATTGAAATACTAGGACATATGTAGGCAATTTCTTTTTAAGTACATTGGTTCATAACTGGGAGGTCATATAAGAAATAGGTGGATAGGTTTATTTAATGGCATGTTCCTCTTTAGCCAAATTTCTGATACCTCCCCACTCCCACTCCACCTGTTCTAAATGAGAACCACTATTTTAGAATTTAAGAATGAGAAGAAATTTAGAACAATGTAAATATTGTTCTTTTGCTGCTATTTCTTCCAAACTCTTATGCTATTCTTTGAGCATGCAGTGATCAACATGTGAGTTTTATAAACATACACCTACAGAAGACAGTTAAAGAAAACTTTATCAAGAATAAATTTATAGGGAAGAGAGTTGAGTAGAAAAGAATCTATTATCAAGTAGAGGGGAGTGGAAAAGTAGGCTTACTTTTCCACTCCCCTCTATTCAACTTACAGTTGCAAGTACATAAAACAGCTTATTTTTATATTATTATTTATTAATTATTGCATTATGTTTCCAAAGAACAACTGTAAACCTACATTTGCATATATTGATGATGGATGTACGCTAACTGTGTCCACCAGTAAGAATTAAAGGTAAATAGACCAAATTTATAGACACTCATACCTGTACCCATTTAAATAGATGAAGGTGAAATGAGTAATATTCAAATTAAATATCATGGGCCATTTTAATTTTTACTCAATAGGGTATGACTGTCTCTCAGTGTGTGGCTTGCATTAGATTCACTGGATACTTGTTAAAAACGGAGAAGTCCAGTTCTCATTCCACAAATTCTAATAAATCTCTGATTGAGGAATGGGAGTTACACATGTTATTTCTCCTTTGTACTAAAGTTTGAGAAGAACTGATTCAGTATAAAGCCATAAAAGGGAACTGTTAAGATATAGAGAAATAAAAGCAGACATAAAATATGTCATCTTTTAAAGAGGTAGCCCTTTGTTCTATTTAAATTGGTATAATTATAGCTTAATGAGAGGTGATCTCACCCTTTACCTTTCCCTGCAAGGGAAAAGCGCACTCATTTATGCAACATAGTGATAATTATGGAGAAGATAATTTATGAAGGTATGGAAAACTGAAGGGAGGATACAGACACTATTTGGGTAGTTAGTGTCAAACAGGGAGGGTGGTCATTTTTGGATTAAAATATTTGTTTCCATGGAAAACCTTGATGTAAAATTAATCTAGTAATATCCACCCCCCACTGAAATTCGTCGATGGATAGTGATATTGAAGGGCCACTTTGTTGAAAGTTAGGCTCAGGGCTGCAGTACGATCGCGCTTCACTTCTGCAGCTCAGATCAGTCCTCTTGGCCCCAGCCGGGTAGCTCAGTTGGTTAGAAAACTGACTTGATATGTTCAGGTTGTGGGTCTGATTCTTATAAGGGAACATGCAAGAAGCAACTGATGAATGTATACATAAAGGGAATAACAAATTGATGATTTTCTCTCTCAAAAGAAAAAAAGATCAATTCTTGTTAACACAACAACTTTCAGCAAGCTCTCATCGTATACTCAGGTCTGCATGGAAGACAACCATCTGTTGAGCACCTATTATGTGTTGTACATTTTGTAAATCTCATTTAATTTTGACAATATCCTGAGAAGCAGTTATTGTGATCAGTGTTTTAAAAGATGAACAGCAGCCCAGACTGTCCAGGTTCAGTGAAGTGTTGGATCTAGAATCTAACTGTGGCTTATCTGGCTCCAAAGTTATACTTTTCTACTGTAACACACCATCTATCATGTGGGGGGACCAAAAAGAAGAGTCTTTGAAAAGTTTGCAGTCTAACAGAGAAATGGTAAACATGCACACATGTGTATCCACACATGGAGAAAATGTATGTGTGTGTACACCCATGCATGCCAATACAGTATGTTGTCAAAGAAACAGATCATAAATAGATTAACATGAAATAATATGCTTATATGCTTAAGAAGGGAAGGTGGTAGTATAATTTTTATTTTCATTGATATGTTTTTCAAAACTTTTAAAAGAATGCATGAAGTGCCCTTGTTTAATTTTCTTAAAACCATCTTTATATTTAAATAAGAATATGACATAACTTTTCTACCCTATCTCAAAGGTGATCAGTGACTGAGAGTATAACACTTAACTACTATTTATCATCACTATTTTATAGAAGGATTACAACATTTACCATTGCCTGAAAATCAAGTTCATCTTAGCGCAGCATTTCATGAAAGGAATTCATCAGTTTAGAGTAACGATAACTGTGTAGAAGACCTTTGTTACTCTTTCATCATTGCCTGCTTTCCTCCAAAAACATGTCATCACTTCACTATAAAGAGGGAATAAACAGACACATTCAAGAAGAAGCAATATCATGTGCTTCAAAATCAGCACAGAGGTTTATAAGTTTTATGATGCCTGATGGCCTTATTCTCAATAATGGGGTCAGTTGGGCAGTTGGGAAGCAGGTCTTCTAAGATGGTAGGTAGTGAAATGGGTACTCTGGCTACATTTCTTGGATTTGTCAGGGTTACAATTTAGAATTGTACTAAAAGCGTTTAGAAAAGGATTAAAGAATAGGAAAGTTTTAAGAGGTTGAGGAAGAAAAATGGGCTGTCAAGATACCAAGTCATGCCCGAACCTGCAAGACCAATCTTCTCCCAGACATGTACATTGCCTACATGGTTGGGCAATTTCTGAGATTTTTAGAATAGTGATTCTGAGGTGATAGAACTAAGGTTCGGGTAATTCAGAGTACCATACAATCATTAAATTCTATCTTGCAGGCTTTCATCTGAAGCTGTCAGATGATATCTTTTTTTTTTGAAGCTGCAAAAGCAGGTATGAAAGAATTTAGCACTTTGTTTAAAGTCAAACTATGAGTTGTTGCAGAAGAAAATTATTGTCATTGTTTCACATGTACTATGTTCTAACTACTTCTCTAAAACAACACGCACATTTAATCTTTATAACAAGCCATGGTTATATTATTATACCCATTTTACATACAAGGAAGCTGAGGCTCACAAGGTAACATTATTTTCCTAGGGTCAATAAATGGCAGCACTGGGTAAGCAAGGTCTATATGACTCCAAACCTAGGTTCTAATTACAATGCTGCACCACCTTCACATTGTCTCCTTTATCTGCGTAGGTGGTTTTACTGCTACACTAATTAACTGTCTTGTGTGTTTAAAGACATAAAAGTTAAATTTGCAAAAAACAGTGTTATTATTCAATGAATAATCAATCTTCTAAGCAGACCTCTGAGGTAGGTAGACAGGAAGCATTACTGTCTGTGTTCTATAAAGTAAGGGATACAACATTCAAAGATTAGGTGATTTGCACATGGTCACAGGAATGGGTGGGTATATCAATATCAGAGGCAGAATCTGTCTTCCCAGTTCCCTTGTCACAAGAATGGGTGGGTATATCAATATCAGAGGCAGAATCTGTCTTCCCAGTTCCCTTGTCACAAGAATGGGTGGGTATATCAATATTAGAGACAGAATCTGTCTTCCCAGTTCCCTTGTCACAAGAATGGGTGGGTATATCAATATCAGAGACAGAATCTGTCTTCCCAGTTCCCTTGTCACAAGAATGGGTGGGTATATCAATATCAGAGACATAATCTGTCTTCC